ATAGGATAAATGTTTACCCATCCAGCTACGAATTGCGGATTCAAGACTCTAAAGTAAAGGAGAAAATTGGCTAGCAAGTAATCAATGTGGACTAAGAGAAACCCCCGGGTATTTAAATGGAAAGGAGCCTTCACCGAACCCCGTATCCCGAAGAATGAGATTTTTCGGATCACCTCTCACCCCTCCAAAGAAAATCGAAGATTTAGCCATGTTGATGGCTAGGCCGGTAGTGCGACGAAAGAGAGAGAGTTGATCGGTCGAATCCGAATTGAAACAGTATCCCCACGGTAAAGTAGCAAGACATCATCCACAAAAGCAAGGTGAGAGATGGCTTGAGCCTCACATTTAGGGTGGAAACGGAAATCGAGTTTTCCGTTGCTTTCGTATAAGTCGGGAGAAGTATTCCATGAAAACCACAAAAAGGTAGGGAGAAAGTGGATCTCTTTGTCTAACCCCCGTTTTACCTTGGAAGAAGCCAAACAAACCCCCGTTAATTGAAATGGAGTACGATGCCGATTCAATACATGAACAAATCCAACCCATAAATCTGTTCGGGAAACCCAACCGTAATAGAAGCCGTTTAAGAAAACCCTAATGCACCGAGTCAAAGGCCTTGCAAAAGTCAATCTTCATTAGGCAACGAGGAGAGGCTCTCTTTCGGCCATACATGTGAAGCAGTTCCTAAACCAAGCAAATATTATCGGACATTTTCCATCCCGCCAAGAAAGCATTCCGGAAAGGGCTTACAATATCCGAAAGGGCCAAGGACAATCTAGAGGAGAAGATCTTGGAGATTACTTTATAAACGACATTACAACAAGCTATTGGTCGATAGTCACTAAGTAGAGTAGCATTGGCCGGCTTGGGAACTAGAGCTATGATTGAGTGGCTAACCTATTGCAAAAGTTTCCCGGACCTAAAGAAATCCTTAACTATCGCACGAAGTCATTCCCGATGATATCCCAAGCTTACTTAAAAAAAGAGAACAAAACCCATCGGGACCCGACGCTTTATCATTGTCTATACTAAACGGGGTTTTCTTGATGGTATCATCCGAAATCGAGGCAAGCGGGATGGCATGGCTGTCCAATTATAAGGTAGGCCCATTAGCAATTACACTCGGGTCTAGGGAGACCGTATCTTTAGCGATATCGAGTAGGCTTTGATAATAGGAGACAAACTCCTCACCAACTTCTTCAATAGAGGTAGTGAGTCGCCCATTGTGCCTTGTAAGAGTTACAATGTGATTGACCTTGTGCTTTTGATTCATTAGACCATGAAAGAAGCTCATTCTTTTATCACAATCTTTGAGGAACTTGCACTTTAGTTTCGGCCAAAGAACATTTTTTCAAAAGCCTTGAGATTAGCTAGATTAAGCCGGAGATGCTTCTCAATCTCATACAGCCCTTGGTTGTCCTTGTCATCGTGAAGCTCATTTTGAAGAGCAACAAATTCGGATTCGGCTTTAGCTACTCTATTGGATATGTGGTTGAAAGGTAGTTTGTTCGGCAATTTCGGGGGAGCCTTCGGGGTTTTCAACTTTCGACAAAGGACATACATAGGTGTACCACTTATGTTAGTCGCCTAATCGTCCGCAACTATTTTAAGAAAGTCCGAATGGCCGACCCACATGTTAAAAAATTTAAAGCTCTAAGTACCGGATCGCATATGAGAGCCTAAGGAAACCAAAATTGGAGAGTAGTCGAAAAAACCCCTTGGAGTTCAAAATGAACATGTGTAGGAATTCGGGAGGAGGTCCAAAGGGGGCTAACTAAAACTCTATCAATTTTTGTCCAAACTTTTGCCCCGTGCCAAGTGAAATGATTTCTGTGTAGTTCAGGTCGGAAAGCCCTAGACCGAACGAGCAAGTTTGGAAATCAAAGGTTTCGTAGTTGGAGACAGTAGTACCATTGTGTTTATCGGCTTAGGAGAGGATTGAGTTAAAATCTCCCATAATAATCCGGGGATAGTGTGAGTGCCATTGATGAAGGTCTTCCTATAGCCCTCTTCTAGAGATGATAGAGTGCATCCCATATACAAAATTTGCATGAAAAACGAGTTCGTTGGATAAGGTCGGTTATTCAAAAATTCAAACCTTGAATAGATACATTTAACACATCAACCATAATTTTTTTAGGGTTCCAAAAAGAGCAAGTGCGTGCATTACCCGTAACCATAGCATTAGAAGCAAATTTCCAAGTGTTTGAGCCTAAGTCCGTGCATATTGGCAAGTTTTGCTAAGTCGAGCTTTGTTTCCACAAGGGCACAATCTACCTTCTTTTTCTTCATGAGAAGGATCTGTCTCATACTTGTTTCGGAGGGCTATTTAGCCCTCCGACATTCCAACTTAAAATGATCATAGTTGAGTAGAAGAGGCCGAGCCCCTTCGACCCTCACTTCGCCTTTGCATAGCTTTACGGTGGCGACCGCTTCCGTCACAATTTCCATGGAAACCTATGCGTCATGTCCGATTTGGGGTACCATAGGTATGGCCCCTAGGGAAATAAGAGGAGCGGGGCATTCCGTTTCCTTACGGTTACCATCCCCTGCTCGGTGAGCCCTTAGTCTACTATTGGTTCCGCTATCCAAATCGTTCTCGCACCGACTGTCTCTACTTTTTCTAGAGAGATATTCATAAGCATACCCCGATCCGAACTTCCCCCAACTTCCCGATTTCGAAGACCGGTCGGCCCAACCTTTTGGTTACACGAGTCCACTCTTGGCTCTTTTGCTGCTGCGCCCATGTCCGGCCGAGGCTCGAGTGGCCCGGAGTCGGTGTGTGGCTCTTGCCTCGATCGAATTAAGCGGTGCGGTTTTCCCTTTATTAGCACCCCTTTATTAGTGTTTATGTCTATGCACCTGTCTCCCATTCCTTGGATGCATCTGCTACTTCAAGGAGCATAGGGTCGATATACATTTGGGCTTCGTATGGCAAGCATTGGCGGAATCATCTACTTGCTGGAACACATTAGACTTGGCTTGTCCGCCTTTTGCTTCACTACCATTTGTAGTGTCTTTAGTCAAATCCCGAGTAGTCCGATTTTTGCACACTTGTGTGGAGTGGCTAAGAATACGACATTTTTTACGAGTATACTAGGAGAGACTCATACACTACTTGGTTGTAAGAGGGCCGTGCCGTTTGGTAATACTCGTGGTGACAATCCGAGGCGAGTCTCCATAATATTCGGCTCTACCAATACTCTAGCATAGGAGAGACGAACCATTGAGGCGGTCAATCTGTCACATTGGATTGGTTTGCCAAGCATACTTGCAATCTTTGAAAAACGGAGAGATGACCAGCATTTTAGTGGCAGGTTGGGAAACTTGACCCAAACGAGGGACAATGGCCATTTTAGTGCTAGAGAAATCAAAGTATTCGGCCATTGGTCTCAAAATCAAAGCTCGCCCATAAATTAGATAGGGTCCTCCATTAAGCACCGAGAACTTTTCTTCTTCAGATTGGAATTTATAGATTAACCATCCCGGTTCATTAACCGTTAGAGTAGCAGACACATTTCTAGGTATCCTTAATGATTCCATTTAGTGCACGGTAACCTAGGCTTACGCTCGCAACATAATCAACTAGGCAGGATTTCCAAAACTCACATTCGGTGTCATCATTAAGCAAAATGCATTGTTTCGATTGAGTGATAGTAGAAAAATGAGACAATTTAGGACATAAGGCTGAGTTTCGGTTACTTACAAACAATTCTCTCCACTTTCTAGCTAGAGGAGGAGGAGATACGGTTATCCTTGCTTTGTATGCTTCACACTCGGGAGACCCTGTTTCCACTCGTTGTTGTCTCTAGAAATGGGGATAAGGAAGGGGTGACTTCGTAGGTAAGTTTATGCCGGGGGCACGCGGAGAGTTACAACGCAGCCGAGAGCCTATGGCAATTTGGCGAGTATTGTCGGCTTCCCCGAATCCAAAATAGGCGGTGTTGTGCTCGAAGAAATGGGATTGAGACCGGTGAAGTCCTTCTAGATTAGAATGGCCCACCTCCTCTTCACTAAACCCATCCTCATCCGAGCAGTCCTCGACCTCAATAGATACATGACCAAAAGTTGGGGCTTGGGATTGGTTAAGGGCGATTTGGAGAGGATATCTCTTTTGCGATCTAGGGTTTTGGGCGATTGGGGAGAGAGGGGAGTGGATTCCTTCGGAGGATAGACCGATGAGGTCGGGGCTTCTAGGGCAATGATAGGGTAGTCGAGTTTTATCGTATAGTAATCTTAGGAGTTGTGGTCGTGGATTTACGTTTCTTCTTTGCCATTAGAGAAAAGAAGCCGAATGTCGAAAGAGAGAGAAATAGTGGGCGAGAGAAAATTTTTCGATAAACTAAACGAGAGAGGGACAAAGAAAATGGAATGGGAATAAGAAATTATACCATGGCAAATGGAAGCGAGTCGGATTAAAGCTTTCTAGATGAAAGTAAGGCGGATCTAGAGGGAAAGAGCTCCATGGAAGGAGGAGAGCGTCTCTCTCTTCTTTCTCACTCTAGGCTTTACTTACCGAGGGCTCACTAGGAGCTCTTTCTTTTTTTTATTTAAATGTAAGTGTATAAATCAAAGTAAAACCAAATTGGAAAACCAGCAAGTAACATATACAGGATTTACAAAAAAGGGAACAGGCTCCCAAAAACTCGAACTAGAGCTTTACCTAGATGGTTGCTCAAGGAATCAACCTAGGAGAGATTCCAAGAGAAACCAAACAAGTAACTAAGAGGAACCTAGCTAGGACCTTTTACAAAAAGCTCAACAGACTTACAAAACCATTGCTGAAAGAGCAAAAAGGAACAAAAGCCTAACCATGTACAAGCAATTTTTTATACAGACACAGTAGAGATCAACATACAACCTAAACGAGAGCGAGTTGGGCTTGCCTTGCCAAGAACGGGCGAGGCGATTGAGCCTACCCAAAGAGCGCAGCGAGAACAGGAGCAAGCGGGAGTAGCGAGCAAAGACCGAGCCTTAATCGGCCGAGAAGGACGGCCCAAATCATGGTTGGCCACCTTGACTCGCAACAGGAACGAGAACGAGGCAAAGCCTCGAGCAACCGAGACCGGGCAAATCGCAAGGAAAGGCTAGGCGACAGACGAGAGGCGAGTGAGATCGGGGAGCAACAGCCCAACCAGCCCCTATTACACCCTTACGAGCATAGCAAGGACGGGGCCTTGCAAGAACGAGCAAGCAACAACCTAAACCTCAAGGAGCGAGCATAGCAGGGCCGGGGCCTAGCAAGAGTAGCGAGCTACAACTCGGCATGATAGTGCAGCAGGCACGAGGGTAGGGGACCGGGCGGACCGAACGGCCTAGTAGGCTCGCCTGTGTGAAACCGGTAGACGTGACCGGCGGAGGGAGTAGACGGAACCAAAGCGACCACCCGGAGAGAAGGACGCACCCAAGCTTGAGAACAAGAGGAGAGCGACAAGAGAGGCTTGACGAGCATGCGGAATCCGGGGGACGCTAGAGGAGCGTCAATCGAAACAGATCCTCACTGTACACGAAGTAGAACTCAAAGGCAAGTAGAGGACTCAGCTGGCGGCAGAATTTAAAGCCAAAAGGCAAGAACCACCAAAGTAGAAAGCCGACGACAGAATGATATAATTCCCCGCAATTCTCGAGGTAAAGGGCCGCCCCTCTATCTCACCCATTTTTTAGGCGAAGTTTGTAGAGCACCGCCCAGCCCAAAGAGCGCGAGCGAGACCGGGAGGAAGCGGGATCAACGAGCAAGAGCCTAGCCATACCGGCCGAGAAGGTCCGCCCGCGAGTGGAGATAATACAGCCTGGGGAGCAACTAACGGAACCCACGGATACGCACACAAAGAGCGCAGCAGGATCGAGCAAGAACACAAGGAGCCTATACGGGAAGGCCACAAGAAGAGGCTAGGCGAGCAGGCGAAGGGAAGGAAGATCGGAGGAGCATCGGCCAATCGGACCCCGATTGCATCGAAATAGCCTAGTAGGGCCGGGGGCTTGCAAGAGCGAGTAGCGACACCCTAGTAGGCCTCGCCTAAGTGAGTCCGGCGGACATGATCGGCAGAGGGAGCAAACTCAACCAAAAGCAGCCTCTCGCAGAGAGGAACACAACCAAGTTAAATGACATGGGGAAAACAACAAGAGAGGTCGGCCAGCGAGTGCTAAAACCAAGGGAGCCTAAAGGAGCGCCGGTCGAACCAAACCCCCATTGCACCCGAAGCATAATTCAAGGACATGGCAGAATCACTCGGCAGACATCCGAACCCAACCACCGGCCAAAGGTCATTTCACGACCGACGGAGGCCTCATGCATCGGAATAGAGGCCGCAAAACCCCGAAAATATGAGCACCCAAAAACCCGAATAGGCCAACATTCAAAGTGATCCCACATACAATAAGGATGGGTCCGATTCATGGAAATAGTAAATCATGTAGAACATGATCCGAAATTTTCGAAAAACTTGATCCACCGAGTTTGATACAGCCTTCAAATACACATCCGTTGCGTTCTTCCCGCATCAAGTAAATGGTGAGACCGAGTCCAACTCTCCTCATTCTAGCTTCCGGATTGTTACGCCTATTGGAGAGGCCACGGAGAGCGCTATAAAGAGTTGACATACCTCCGTTAATGCGGAGCCGGCGTTTAATGTTCAACAAGAGGCCCGTCGCCCAAACACAAGAAAAGAACAAATGGCCATGTGATACAAGGCCTTGACCATAGAGAAGGCGAGGCTTCGCTAGAAGGGATTAACCGAAGACGATCCTTAGTTTTTAATGCTCCTCGTGCTCGCCGACCAAAGGATAAAGGCATGCCTCGGCATGGACCAAGATTCCCAAATAGAACGGGCCCAACTCGTAGGGCTCATTTTAGGATGGAGATGAGCATAAGCTATACGGGAGAAGCTACCCCTTATAGAGTGCTAATGGCCTAGTTCACGAATAGCTGCCGCTTGGGTATGATATTTCCGGACAAGGAGATCTTTCAAGTCAATCACCGCTTTCCACAAAGGTGAATTAGTTCGACGGGCATCAACCTCCCAAATTGGACGATTATGCAAGTAATAATGGTGGACCCATCGGATCCGGAGGGAGTCGATTTGAGGTGAATGTTCCATAGACGCTAGGCTAAAAAGCTTTGGTTCTTCACTTTAATGTCTAGCGAGGCCTAACCCACCTTGGTCTTTAGGGAGGCAGAGGCTTTTCCAAGCCACCGAGGCCGAAGAGCTTCTACGGGCATCCTCTATCCATAGAAAGTTATGGCATATACTAATAATACTAGTAATAACTGTGGCGGTATAGAAAAAATGGAAATCCGGAATTGAATCATACCATAAAGGACTGATTGCAGCAACTCCAGCCTTCCCGCGTAGGAGAGATGCTTACCCATCCAGCTACGAATGGCGGTTTCGAGACTATGAAGCAAAGGAGCAAACCGACTAGCAAGCAATCGATGTGGGCTTAAGGGGACCCCAAAGTATTTAAATGGGAAGGAACTCTCGCGAAGCTAGTTTCATGGAGGATAGCATTTTTCCGAGTCACGCCCACACCTCCAAAGAAGATCATCGACTTAGCCACATTGATGGTCGGGCCGGATGTGCGGCCGAACGAGAGATAGTTGGTTGGATAAAATCTCGATGGAAGTTGTGTCTCCATGGTTAAGGAGGAGCACATCATCGGCAGAATGCAAGGTGGGCGATGCCTAGGTTCTCACATTTAGGATGATGGGTGAACCGAGAATCCGCGGTAGCGACCCGGAGCAATCGAGAGAAATATTCCATACAAAGCACAAAGAGATAGGGAGAGAGGGGATCCCCTTGCCTAACACCTACCGCACCCGAAAAGAACCCAAACATGTTCCCATTAACCGAAAATGTTAAGAAAACCCCATTGCACTTATCCAAGCAACAAATCTGTTCGGAAACCTCAACCGTAAGAGCAACTGTTTCGGAAAACCCCATTGCATCGAGTCAAAGGCCTTACGGAAGTCTATTTTCAGCAGGCATCGTGGGGAAGCTCTCTTGCGACCATACATACGGAGCGGCTCTCCGAACTAGGCAAATGTTGTTGGACATTTTCCTACCATCAAGGAAGGCATTCGCATGGGACCGATAATCTCCAAAAGGGCTTGGGAGAGCCTAGAAGCAATAATCTTGGAAATTACCTTGTATATTACATTACAACAAGCAATCGGCTAAAAGTCACTAGGCAAGGTAGCATTGGCCTTTTTGGGGACTAAAGTGAGCACACGATGGGTCGACTTGCTTCAAGAGGTGGTCGGATACAAAAAATCCCGAATGGCCGCGCGAAATCCCTACCAACCGTATCCCACGCTTGTTTGAAGAAAAGGGAAGAATAACCATCCGGACTGTGGGCCGACTCATTATCTATACCGAACGAGTGTCCGCTTAACTAGAGCCTCCGATATGGGCTCAAGAAGAAAGGCATGATGGATGGTAGATAACTAAGGCCCAGCGAGCCTACAACGAGTAGGGTCGAGGGGAGCAAGTGTCCAAGGCCGTACCCAAGAGGTTCCGATAATAAGAGACCGACTCCGCCGCCACTTCTTGGACCGAGGAGATAACACGCCCATCCGTCTTTTGGAGGGCCGCAATGTAGTTGCCCTTGTGCTTCCGGTTTAGCGACCCATGGAAAAACCCAGTACCCTTGTCACACTCTTTCGAAACTTACATTTCAATTTCGACTAAAGAACATCTTTTTGGAGGATTTGAGATGAACCAAAGCTATACGAAGCCTCTTTTCCGATAGGACAAGGTCTAAGTTATCCCTATCATGCTCGAAGTGCTAGCTGGATGTCGGCCAATTCCGATTCGGCCCGAGTCACTCTTTGGGAGATATGGCTAAAATGGAGAATGTTCAGCTTCTTGAGTGGTCGCTTTAATAACTTCAACTTTCGACAGAGAACAAACATGGGAGAGCCATGGAAGCCGCCCGCCCAACCGTCGGTGACAATTTGGGGAAAATCCACATGCGCCGTCCACATGTTGAAGAATTTGAAGCCGCAGTACCAATCCACTCGCTATTGTGCAACTCAACCAATACAATTGCATGGTCCGAAAAAGCCCTAGAGGGAGCAAACCGAACATGAGTCGGTATATTCGTGGAGGACCAAAGAGGATTAGTCAAAACACGATCAATCTTTGTACATACTGTCGCCCCACTCCATATGAAGTGGCTCCCCGTGTATGTGAGGTCTGGATAGCCCAAGGTCGCCGCAACAAGCCCCGAAATCGGCCGTTTCATAATTGGACACAACAGACTCCCCGTGTTTATCGGCTTGGGATAGGATTGAATTGAAGTCCCCCAAGAGGATCCAAGGCCCATTCGATCGCCAATGATGAAGGTCTTCCCACATCTTGCGTCCGGCGATGATGGTATGCAAACCATAAACAAACGTGGCATAGAAGGTAGTCTGCTACACAAGGTCTTTGAGTGGACATGCGGACCTTAGATGGATACATTTAATAGATCAACCATCACAAGGCTTGGGGTTCCGAGAAAGGACTATGCGGGCTATCCCCACGACTGAAACATTAGAAAGGAAGTGCCAATTCTTGAATCGAAGTTTGTGTATATTGACAAGTTTTGCAGAGGTAAATTTTGTTTCCACAAAGGCACAAATATCTACCCGCTTCTTTTGCATAAGGCGGATTGCCTCGTGCTCGCTTCGGAGGGCTATTAAGCCCCCGACATTCCAACTAGAAATGATCATCTTTGAGTTGAAGAGGCTAAGCCCCTTCGACTCGCATGTCGGCCTATCCCGACCTCTCTTCCGACGACCGGCTTTGGCTCAATCACGGTAGCGACAATCCGAGTCCCTTGTCCGATCGGGGAGGCCTACCGGAAGTCCCCAAAGTGGTCGGGTCGGGGCTACTATCGGCTTCTCCGACGGTGGAATGTGCCACGTTGGGAGGGTGAGCCTTATCACCGATACCTTCCGCCCAAAAGAGTGCTACTCGACTTTCCTCAATTCTCGCTAGAGGACCAATCGAACTTGCAATCCGATTGAGGTCCGACTCATCCGCCGGACGGAGAGGTCCGGCGAGCCTTCATTAGGCCTAAGCCGTCCAACTTGATCACAAGTGGTGTCATTGACCACCCCGGGCCTTTGTTGAATGGGGTCATTTGCACTTGGGATAGAATCCGGATCGGTACCATCTTCTTGCAAGCACTCGTTTCCCTTTATCCCTTACCCCGCGAAACTATTTTTTCCCGTAAACTATCT